TTGGATTGTGTCAGTAATAGTAATGCCCTCCTTACCTTAACATGTGACAGTGCTTAAAAGGTAGGGGTGAGGTGGGCCCAAAGAACCAAATGAAGCCCTGATATTTGCTCTGCAGGGTCAACAGACCTCACATCTGGATGGGTTTGCAACTTTCTTTTTCTTAACAGAAAGTCTTATTCTTTTTCCAATTCCAATCTCACTGCCAGAGATCTTCAATATATGCTGTATGAACTAAATGGATCATGGATTTGGAATTTAACATATATTTTTTAACACCCTAAATATACTAAGCTGAGACATCACTGGATGTGCAATGACTCTACTGACATGCAAGAATGAAGGTGAGCAGCAGTGACTGGCTTAAAAATGTATTCCTGTACATTACATGAGAATGGCATTGTATACAGGCGTTACATGCGAAAAGAAGGCAGGAGACACCTGTAATCAAAAGTATCCCAGAGAATCCCACAGAAAGGTGCCATGTTGAAGACGAGAGACGGTTAAAATCCCACACATCTTCTGAGCATTGAAAGGATGGCCATTTCACTGGTTGGGCACCAGATAAAGTTAGGAGCTACATTTCAGAGTCACACTCAGCTCCACGAGTTGTTCACACAATGAGAGGGACTGAGTCCAACAAAGGGAAAAGCCATTTCATACCCAAAGTCATTGAGCAGAATTCTGATGAACTATCCAGCACAATTTTAACTGTTAATATGCACCCTCTTTCTGTGTTGCATAAGAAGAGGTGAATTCTCTTGGATCAAAAGTATGTATGATTAACTCCACCGCACTGAGAGTCTCCCCACCCACAGACCATGCCTCTCACTTCAGCCAGTCATCCTGAAGACACATTCCCTTGGGCCCTTGAGGAACCAGGTAAGAGTGGAGGGTGGATCCACATAAATTCATTGTGACTACTGTAGAAAACAAACCTAGACTGCCTACATGGAGAATACCACGCAGAAGCAAAACTGAAAACTGCATGGTATTTTCCTTTTGCTCTGACAATGCTGTGCCAAGCCCTGTCTTCATCTGTCCCTTTCCAAATTTCTTTCAGATCAAGCATTTGAGTTTTAAATTATAATTCCCAAATATGCTGGCTTGTAACTTTCTGGGCTGAACCTGATTTCATCGTTGCTTGTACACAAGGCCAATCTCTTAATATTCTGTTAGGCCTTGGGCCCCAAAGTTGCTTACAGCGTTGCCCCACTTCATAACCCTGAGTCTGTGGCTGGCAACTACCAGACATCTCAATCATACAAGGAGATAAACTGCTTTGCAGGCAAAACTACCTGATACTCCCTCAGAATTCTGAGAAACCATTCCAAATCTCCA